AGGGGGGGGGGCGGAGAGAGAGAAAAGAGACTTGGTGGCCTAGAGCCTGTAATCCTGAGGAAAGCTCGCTATAATATATTCCATTTTTCCAAACTCACCCAGCTGCAAAAAAAGGTACTTTGTTTGCTTTGTAAACGGTGGAAACGGTGGTCAATACGTACGGTACGCTCACAAAGGTACACAATGATGTGTTTATCAGCGGGCTGAGACGAGAAATCAGGCACGATTCCGATCATTTTGTACTAGGAAAAAGCCTTGACAGAAAGACAGAAACAAAGGAGAAATAGCAAAGTAAAGATCAAAGACTTGCCTCAACACTCAACACTCCCGCCCACTTATAGGTCTCTGAAGTCGTTTGTAAAGGAAAATACTGTGCAAAACAGTCCAGTTCAGACAGATAGCCATTCAAAATCTCGAATGGGCGAAATAATATGATACAATCGAATCTGTTCTAACGGCCACCTGTATAAGACAATCACCAGTACATACTCCCACTTTCCATTTCCCCTTGTGTATTTTTTTCCATCAAAATGGCACTGTATAAGACAGCCACTTTTCTCCTCGACAATGAATGGCCATCTTAGACAGTTTCGACTGTATTTATATAGCGTTTAACTCCGATTAATAAAGAACATATGCTCAGGGCGCTCTACCAATGCAATTAGTATCAGCACATAAACTATAGGGTGTTTTGATTAACAATCTCGAATACCTCTTTAATCTAAAAACAAAACAAAAATGACTTAAGCCTACTTTTAAACGAATAACACGATTTGATACTAGACAGTGAGTTCCAGAGTTGAGACTATGAAGTGCTAAATGTCATTTTTAATCGTTGTTTTAAGTTTCAATGATAGTAAAAGTAATTTCTATTTGTCAATTTCTACAAATTGGAATTTAGTTTCAAGAGATTTTATCAACATATGATGTTGCGTTACCATTGTGTATCACCTGGTTTGTGTTTATATAGTACCTTCCACAGTTTTGTACTCTGAAAGGTTAAAAACACAACTTTACTGAGCCTAATTCAATATGCTTAATAACAGGTTACAATGATGTGTACCTCCAAGAGTGTAGTGAGGAGAGACATTGGGACATACGATCGACACGAGGAGATGCTGAGAAGTCATTCGATTCTTCATTGACAAAGCAGGACAATAATAGATTATAATATTCTTGTAAGGTGCTTCTTTCTTTCTTTCTTTCTTTCTTTCTTTCTTTCGTTCTTTCTTTCGTTCTTTCTTTTCTCTCTCTCTCTCTCTCTCTCTCT